AAGAATATATCAATAAATTTGATATACATCAGATAAGTGGCAGCATCTCAACCATCAAAAGGGCATGCGAAGCTAGAGGGTGTCCCACTTGCTAACAAAATAAAAAATGAGATTCCAAAGAGATAAAAAGGATGTGACTCAAAGAAGACAGCGGCATGTAAAGACAACCCTTTAAAGAAGATGTGATATAAAGTAGTTGCATGTGAAGATTATAATGGAGGGGTCGATAGGCACTTGATAGAAAAAACATAAATTATTAAGTGATATATGATGTATGAAATGATGTAAGAGGCCAATAATTTTTGCTTCAATTAGATGTATAATTAGAGGCCTCCGGGCTAGATGTAAGGCAGAACGATTGGGAGCACTCAATTTGTGAGAAAGCCAAAAACTTTCTACTAAATCTTGTATCAATTTTTCAAATATATCAATTCTACCAATTTGGAATAAATTATTCACATTCCAATCCTCTCAAAGGGATATGAGTTTCTAAATCTTATTCCCATAGATTCTTGAAGAATCTGATAGAGAAATTCTTTTTTACTTTAGCAATAAACAAAGTTTTTCTTTAACAAATTTAAAGATTTAATTCTTAGAAACAATACATTGAGAGGAAGAAGTTGGAATATCAATGATCCCATGAAGGCAGGAAGCCGTTGAAGGAGTGGTTTGTACATCCATAGCTCGAAGGCCACTTGATTTTGAGGTTATAAATCCAGACTAAAACTAAAGTACAACTAATTATTTACTGCTAAATTTAGAAAGAACTCTTTTAAAATTTTAAAGAATCGCAAAGATTAATTGTTATAATGTTTTATTATGATGTTGTTCATAGTCTGATATTCAAAGATGTCAGGATATATAGTTGAATGATTGGATAAAATTTTAGAAAGAATGTTAAGAAAAATTAATGATAATGATTTATTACAAAGAGATATAGATATATTATCTGAAAAATATGATAATCTTAGAAAAGAAAACGATAAGTATATTACAGATTATTCCAACTTATTAAATCATAGAATGAATCTATATATTATAATTCGAAATAGTAGAAATAAAAGTTAAAACCAAGTGTTTTTAACTATCTCATAAGAAAAAGGATATACCATGCAATTTTTAAGAATTTATTTCATTAAGTGTAAAATAGACATTTCCACCAAAAATTTAAAAGTTTTCGTCAACTAGGCCAAATTGTTAAAAAACCATATCTCACAAATTATTAGATAATTGCAAAAAGAAAAAGAACAAAGTCAAAAGGAAGTGAACGTGCACCGGGAATCACTCCTTCCAACAATACAGTACCTGACCCAATTAAAACAGAGACACGCGTACTCCATGTACCATGTTTGGTTAAGCTTACAATTAAATAAGTAGTTTTAATATAAAAAAATTTCTTTGATTATTCTATTTTCACAATTAAAAATAAGAATGTGTTTGATTGATATAAAAAATATATTCTAAAAAATAAAATATTTTCCTAAGGAAAAAAAATCATACTCCCCCAAAGAAAATATTTTTCATAGAAAAATAGCAATCAAATACTTCAAAGTAGGAATTTGGATGAAAAATTAAAATTTTTCATGAAAAATAAATACAATCAAACACACCTAAATAATATATTTTTTCCTAAGATCACAAGTAATTTACTTGTAACAGTGAAGAGTAAAGAAAAAGTAAATTAATATGTAGTTTTAACATATTACCTTATTTATTAAGTCCCTTAGCATATTTGTTTTAGATTAAAATCCAATTAAAATTGAAAATATGATCGTTATTGGGTCTCACTCGTCTAATAAAAGTCAACAATAACGACTAATTTTTTAATTTTAATCCGATTTTAATATCTACCAAACACGTCCCCTATTTGGTGATGATTAAAATTAAATTTATAATAAATTTTATTAAAAAAATTTTGAAATGTATAATTAAAAAGTTTCACAAATATATGATTAATAATGATTGTTTAACATTAATTCAAATTAAAATGTGATTTGAAAAAGTAAATACTTTTTCTTTTTTTAAATCTAAATAAAGTGGGTAAAAGAGTAAATAAAATAAACTTTTTTCAGGAATAAAGTTAACTTTTACATATATATCAAATTAAGGGTCCAATCCAAACCTGCACCATCCTGAAAACCCTTTACAAAACCCCAGTTCTCGTGTGTTCCCTTTTTTCTTCTCGAAATCTCCATCTGTAACCCCTAATTTCCGATTTTCTTGATGGTCTTTCCTTCTTCGCCATTTTCACATGGAAAAAATGTCCGCCTCCATTTTTCTGCTGTTCTTGACGGTCATGCCGATGCTATTTACTCAAACGACGTCGCAATTGAGCTCCGGCCCTCACATGGCGGACGTCAACATTCTGTTACCTCCCAAAATGACTCACCCTGTTGAATACAGACTTCAAGGCAGTGATGGTTGCTTCAAATGGTATTACAGATTGCATCCCCTGTTTAAGCCTTTGATTTTTATTTTTTTCAAAATTTTCAAACAATAGCTATTTTTTGTGTATAGGTCATGGGATCACCGTGATATACTGTCGGTGGTGCCGGAGTATAATTCAAGCAGTCATTGTTCGACTAGTGCTAGATTGAAATCCATTGCTCCTTATAGTCGTCGAAAGGAAACTGCAGTTTATGCCACTGATGTCAATACCGGAATGGTGATCCGTTGCAAGGTTTATATTGATATAATGTCTAGGATTCAGATATTCCATAACTCTGTCAAACTTGATCTCGATGGGCTCGCCACTCTTCGCGTACGTGCTTTTGACAGTGAAGGTATTTTCTGAAAATATTACTGGTCACATAATTGTTGTAAGCTTTGTCGTGTTGTCTTGATAAGTTTTCTCTGTTTTATGACGTTGTTGTACTGTAAGATTTAGCTTCTTAGCGAGTAGCGATGGATGTGACCTGATAGTTTCAACTTTCAAGTTTCTGAGGTGCCTCAGCCAGTGAAATTTTGGCTTTAATTTATTTAAAAGTTTATGTCATGGACTATTTGATAATCTTTTGCTTTTCAATTGTTGTGTTGCAGACAATGTGTTTTCGTCATTAGTGGGATTACAGTTCATGTGGCATATGACACCGGAAACTGATAAATTTCCTCATCACCTTGTCCATGTTCCTCTTAAGGACTCTCCATTGAGTGATTGTGGTGGCTTGTGCGGTGACCTAGATATCCAGGTAAAGCTTGAAGATAGTGGTGTATTTTCTGACTTGTATGTAGTGAAAGGAACTGAAATTGGCCACGAAATCGTTTCTGTTCATTTGATGGAACCGTCATTTGGGCACATGGCGGATAAGATTGTTTTGACAGTAGCAGAAGCAATGTCTCTCGATCCTCCCTCGCCTGTTTTTGTTCTAATTGGTGCTGTTGTCCGTTATACTCTTAGGGTTATTCGTGGCAATATTCCTCAAGTGGTAAGTTTACCATCTCCATTTCATCGGTGGTATGTTTTGAACTCTTCTGTTGCCCAGGTGGAGAGAGAGATGGGGGAAACTCATGCTTTGAACTTAGGAGTAACAACAGTTACAGTTGAAGACACCAGGGTTGTTGGGCACATACAGATGTCATCACTCCACGTTGTCATCCCAGATACTTTAGTGTTGTTTATATTACCTCTCTCTCTTTCTGGTGCTGCTATTGAGGGGATAGAACCTATTCCATCTGCATCACGTTGGTACATTATTTGTGGCAGACAATATCTCATTCATGCGAAGGTTTTTTCACCAGGACCTGGGGCAAAAGAAATTTATATAACAGAGAGTGATGATATTAAGTTGCATGATGACCACTATGAGTTCTGGAATATTCTCCCAGTTTCAGAAGGTACTACTGCTGAAGGAAATTATAGAATTTTGAGAGCAAATTCATATGGATTAGGAAGACTGATGGCAACTTTGACTTACACAAGTGGACAAGACACAAGAAAAGAGGTTCTGAAGCTTGCTCAAGAAGTCATGGTCTGTGATCAAGTGAAATTCAGTATGGAGGAAATGGGTGGTCCCTCCAATGCAATTCTCCTCCCCTGGGTCCCCGGGGTCTACCAGGAGTTAGAGCTTAAGGCAACTGGAGGTTGTGCAATGTCTTCAAGTGACTATAAATGGATTTCTTCGGATATGGTTGTTGTGTCTGTATCTGCTTCCGGGATAGTTGAGGCTAAAAAGTCTGGGAAAGCAACTATAAAAGTAGTTTCCGTCTTCGATTCATTGAATTATGATGAGATGATTATTGAAGTTTCCATCCCCTCTTCGATGGTTATGCTTCCTTACTTTCCGGTCGAGGCACTTGTTGGATCATATCTTCAAGCTTATGTAACATTACAAGCATCAGGTGGCTCGTATTTCTATACATGCGATGCTTTCAGGTCCTCTATAAGATGGAAAACTGAAAGTGAGCACTTCACAATCATTAATACAACAGTGGAATCATTTGTTTATAACAAGCTAGATGCCCTTGATATCAATTCCTCATCATATGGCCCTCCATGTGCAAGAACACTAATATACGCTTCTAATCCTGGTCGCACTTTGCTACATGCAACATTGACTCCAGAATATCAACAGTTCGACCATGCTAGTAGTGGGTCAATCATCTTAAAAGCTTCCTCTTGTATTGCAGCCTATTTACCACTCATTGTGCAGCAAGCTAGTGATGGAAACCAATTTGGTGGTTACTCATATGATTTAAGTCAGACTGAAGCGCAGAATCAGTTGGAAAATTCGGACTATCTATATCTCACCCCTGGCGCTCACTTGGATGTGATGCTTCAAGGTGGACCTGAACGGTGGCATCAAGATGTTGAATTCATTGAAGTTGTGGAAGCTTTAGATGAACATAATTCTTATGTGACAAATAGAGTTCGATTACAACTGTTAACTGGCAATAACAGTGCATACAGAATACAATGCCAAAGTTTGGGAAGCTTTAAACTCATATTCAGGCGTGGAAACATGATGGGGGATGGCCACCAATTGCCTGCTGTAGAGGAAGTGCAATTGTTGCTTATGTGTAGCTTTCCATCTTCCATTGTGCTAATAGCTGATGAAGCAGTGAATTTGCCTCAAGTTATACAGTCTGCAGTTCAGGCTGAACGCAAGCCTGAAGGACTTTGTGCCGCCCCAATTACTGTAGCAAATGGGCGCAGAATACGAATTTCAGCGGTTGGCATTGGTTATTCTGGAAAACCTTTTGCAAATGCGTCTTCTCTCTGTTTGAGGTGGGAACTCGTTGCATGTGAAGGATTGGTGTTTATGGATGATGCCTACAGTTCATCAGCAACCAAGTCGTCTTGGGAGAGGTTTTTTATCCTGCAAAATACATCAGGACTGTGCATCATTCGCTCTACTGTTATTGGGTTCATTGATTCTCTTGGCCACCTTGATTTTACCAAAATGTTTGAAGGTTTTGCAAGTGCTCTTACAGATGCCATACAATTGCAGCTTGTTTCTTCTCTTAGAGTCCATCCAGAACTTGGCCTGTTGTTTTTCAGTCCTGATGCCAGGTTGAATCTCTCAATCACTGGAGGGAGCGGTTTCTTGGAGACTATGGTGAATGATACTCAAATTGTGGAAGTAATACAACCCTCACCAGGATTACGGGGTTCACAACTGACACTGGCTCCCAAAAGCTTGGGGCCTGTTCTTTTGACTGTTCATGATATTGGGGTTGCACCTCCAATAGCTGCATCTTCTGTGGTCCAAGTTGCTGATGTGGACTGGATCAAGATTACAGTAGCATCAGAGATAAGCCTTATTGAAGGAAGTTTGCAGTCTATCAGTTTTTTGGCTGGGATTAGTGATGGACGTACTTTTGACTCTTCTCAGTACGTTTACATGAAAGTTCGTGTTCATATTGAAGATCATATAGTTGACCTTGTGGACGGTAATGGTTTCTCAAGACCTATTGATGGATATTTGAACGGCCAGAATTTTACCATACAGGCTACACGTCTTGGGGTGACAACCATCTATCTTAGCACAGTCCAGCATTCTGGGAATGAAATATTGACTCAACCAGTTAAGGTGGAAGTCTATGCTCCACCAAGAATACACCCTAGCAATATATTCCTTGTACCAGGTGCGTCTTATGTGCTTGCAGTAAAAGGAGGGCCAAAAATCGGTTCATACATTGAGTACGCCAGTATGAATGATGAAACTGCAAAAATTAACAAGTCTTCAGGACTATTGTCTGCAATGTCACTGGGAAACACTACATTGGTTGCCACAATCTTTTATAATGGAGGTATAATGCTTTGTCAAGCATATGGCAAGGTTGAAGTCGGGATCCCGTCTACAGCTTTGTTGAATGTTCAAAGCAAGCAAGTCGCTGTTGGCCGCTGGATGCCAATACATACTTCTTTATCTAAGGGAAATTTGTTTTCGTTTTATGAGCTCTGTAAAGATTTCGTGTGGAAGGTAGAAGATGAAGAGGTTTTGAGTTTTCGAGTGGAAAACAGCTTACACATTAAGGAGCATGAACAAACTAGATCTTCTGGTTACTTAGATGAGAAAGATCTTAATTTTATTCAAATGCTTTATGGAAAATCTGCTGGCAAGACAAATGTTACTGTTACATTCTCCTGCGATTTTATATCTTCTAATTTGGTTATGAAGTCGAGGTTTTATAGTGCATCTACATCATTGCGGGTGGTCCCGGATCTTCCACTTGCTCTGGTATCGTGGATCCTCCCTCCTTACTATACCTCTTCAGATCTTCTGCCTTCATCTTCACATGATCACGATAAAGGAGACGCTCCTGTTCGTAAAGGTACAATTACTTATTCTCTATTGGGACAAAGCGGCAGCCGGAAGACTGGGGAGGTACAAGATGAGCCTATAATTATTGACCGGGCTAAAATAAGAACTAAGGAAAGTGACAATCTTGCATGCATTCTAGCAAAAGATGGGTTGACTGCGAGAACTGAGATCGCTTCTTGTGTTAGGGTAGCTGAGGTATCTCAAGTAAGAATTTTGACAGATGAGTTTCCAGTCCAAACTCTTGCTCTTGGTGCTCAACTTTATCTTCCTATCAAATATCATGATGTTCTTGGAAATCCTTTTCACGAGGCTTATAATATCACACTTTTTGAGGCTGAAACTAACTACCCAGATGTTGTCTCCATTGATACCGACAACGTTAATGGGTATATACATCTTCGAGCAAGAAACCATGGGATATCTCTGGTGCAAATAGCATTCATTAGTGATTCTCAGAAGGCAGACTATGCTATGATTTTTGTTGGTCCTAGTTTGTATCCTCGAAACCCCGTCCTCCACCAAGGAGCCCGTCTTAACTTCAGGATAGAAGGTTGGAGTGATCTACCATTGGGACACTGGTCAAGTTCCAATCGAAGCGTTGTATCCATTGACAAGCAATCTGGCCAAGCTGAAGCCATTGGGGAAGGTACTACCCGAGTTCACTTTAATAGTTCTAGTTTCAAGCTTCAGACTTCTGTTACTGTGTTGAAGGGGAATATAGTGTCAGTCAATGCCCCAAAAGATACACTTACAAATGTGCCATTTCCAACAAACGGATATGGGTTTTCTGTAAAATTTAGCGACGCTCATAACAAGCACCGTGTATCTTCTGGGGATAGTCATGAATTCTTGTTTGATTGTGTGCTGGACCCACCTTATGTTGGATGTGCACGCTCATGGAGGGATATTGACACAGGCAATCTATATTGCCTCTTCTTTCCATACCCTCCTGAACGTTTGGTAAATTCTACTCCCAGTTCTATAGATACAAACCGAGGTGTATATGTGACCATCAATGCTTCACTAAGAGGAGACAGTCGTGTTACTGGTTCTGCATCCACTCTTTTTATTGGAGGATTCACTGTACTTGAAATGGAAAAGAGCCCAATGCGTCTAAATCTGACAGAAGGCTCCAACAAGGGTGTCATAACCATCATTGGGAACACAGAGGTTGAAATCCACTGGCACCACAAGGACCGGTTATCAGTTCAACCAGTCGACGGAGAAGGTCATGGGGTCAGACAGCCTGTTCTGTATGAGATTAAAGTTCATGGAGCCGAGAGATTGAAAGATCAACTGGTTATCACACTCCCAGCCACCGGTCAAAGGGTTGAAGTCGATGTAAGCTATGAACCGGAGGAGAGAAGTGAATCAGCACCCTTGGCCAGTTTTGCTTCAATTTTTCTGTTGATTCTAACTGCAACTGCTGTCATATGTTACCTCTACAGATCTGAAAGATCACGCCAAAATGTTGTCCCTAGACCTGGAACTCCAAGTGTAACCACACCCATCACACCCGAACGTAGTACTCCATCTGTTGTCAATGAACTGTCTCCCCGGACGCCACAACCTTTCATCGACTATGTTAGGAGGACAATAGATGAAACTCCATACTACAGGCAAGACGCCAGGAGGAGGATTAATCCTCAGAATACATTTTAGCTTCATGGATTGACATTTTTCCCAGTGTGGTCGAGTCATTCCAACTTCAAGAAAGCTTCAGAATCTGCCCAAAAGGTGTAGTTGGATGTTTTTGAGCTAGCGTTTTATTTTATGTATAATATTGATGTAATTCAGTTTTTTCTTTTTTGGGTGTAGGTCGTTAGAATCACATTTTATTAATGTATTAAAGCCGTTGTAGCTTGGGTATGATTCTTGCTGCATAAACTTCATTGCATGCTTTTGAATGCGAACTGTTGGATGTTATGGTGCACAGTTTTAGGTAGCATTTGTGCACTATATTGGAGCACATGTATTTCTCAGCTTTGCTTCAAATGGTATTAGAGATTTGACACGCTATGCTGCTATGACACTGTCAATTATTTTATGGTAAAAGATTCTAGAGTGCTTCACTTTGTTACAAACCTTTAAACCTTTAGACATTCGTGATAGTTAAAGATCCGCAGAAAATCTTTATAATTCTGTGCAATACGACTGTTGTCAGTTTTAAAATGGGTGTAGCTAAAACATTTTTGAATTTCAGCTTGTGATCCAATCAAGCATTTCTAGTCTCAAATTTAACTCAAGTTGTGCTTAACCAGACTTTAACTTTACTTGTTTGAGGGTCAATTAGCTACTGGTTGTGAGTAGTGTTTTTGTCAATTGAACTTTTAGCCTTTTCAAAAAAGTAGTTGAAATTTTTGTAGTGCGATTTTTTTTGTATCTTACTTTTTTGTATTTTTTCACCATGTAATTTTATATCTTCTATATATTAAAAGTGGCTATGTAACGGAATTTTTTGTTTTTAACGGAAAAACTAACGGAATTTGTTGTTTTAACGGACTATGTAATGGAATTTTTTTGTTTTAAACAGGCAGCTGCACCTTCTTTTAATATTTTTATCATAACTTTGTATTCCGATGTCCGATTGAGGCGATTCAAAATGTGTTGGAAAGGTAACTCATCTGGCTACAACTTTGATTCAGACATCATTCTCCAATTCGATCACTTTCTATACCAAAAATAGGTCTCAATATGAGACTAAAACACCGGAGCATAACTTTTCGGTTGGAAATTGATTTGTGATCATCTTTTGNATTTTAGTTCCTAAACTTTGGATCCCTTACAATTTAGCTTTTTTCTCCAAATTTGTCAACTTTTGCTTATTTTCTTCGATCTCACCAACTTACATCACAACATCAAAATCACACATCTAATTATTTATTTATTACATAAATATTACATCATTAATTATTTAATTAACCAAAAAAAATACATCTTTATTAATAACAAATTAATTTTTAAACAAAACTATTAAATATAAACTATGCAAACGTGTATTGCACGTTGTTTGCATCTAGTGTATATATATATATAGAAATCTACATTTAATAAGTTGCAATGATTGGAATTTACACCCTATGTTAATTTATTTTTAAATCATATTACAATGGATATAACCGTAGCATTTATTGGTAAATGAATTTGTAAGTTATGATGTACATATAGCACAACTTATGAAATTCACTATTTTTATCAACTTTTTAATTACATATTTTATCAATTTTATTAAAATTTGCTGAAGTTTTTAGTAGTAGCTTTGTACAACAATATATAATGACAAGATTTTGAAGGATAACCAAAACAAATCTATCATTTTTTTCCCAAGGCAAGCCTTCTTCTTCTGTTCTTTTTAACAACTAGTCAAACCTACCTCTAAATCATTGGTCCTGCCATAAAAGGAAAATTACGCTAAACCTGCATTCTATTGTGTACATTTTTGTCTACATTTCACTGTATATTTCAAAAAGTGTTGGGAGAAAAAGTGTGTGTGTGTGTTTTTTTTTTTAAAACTATCCAATCATGTATCGCCATGTGGCACAATGTCAAAAATAATGTAAACAGTAATGTACATATAGCATGATTGTCACACGTTGACTTCATGCCAGTTACTCTAGCTGCTCAAGTGTTCTATAGCTTTCTTCTAATGTTTATTAATAAAATAAATTCAGATGGGTTCATAACCTCCAACTACCTGTCCAACTATCAAGTTTTTAGCCCTTACCTCACTATTGAGTCCAGTGGCAAAAAAAATTGGCCATTCTACAAATTTCTCCATATATCGAAATGTATTGACATCAATTTAACCGCATACATAGCATTTACCATTACCTCGAACGTGAAATGTGTTTTGTAAAGTTGGGGAGAACTAATGAAGTATTTAAGAAGAACACTGGTACTCATCTTATACTAAGTATCGTGATATGACATGTCAATTTTTTGGTGAATTAATGGTGTTTAGCATAAAATAAGCGTGGATCCTCATTATTAGATTATTTCTCTTTAACTCATAGCTTCTAGACAAAATAACAAATTTCTTTCCAGTGGCAATACGTGCATCTCAAAATTTTTTGAGAGTAATGATATTTATGTTCAGCGACTGCAATAGTTGTTCCATATGACAACTTATCATTTGAGACAATTAGTCCCTGTTTGGTCTCCATTACATTACATTAAATTTTTCTCTCTTCATTACAATCACATATTCATCAAATAAAATAATATTACAAACTTTTTACTACTTTTTCACCACACATTCTCCCATCAATCACTATTGGGGGCCAAACATGGGCTTATTTCCAGTTTCAAATATCAAACTAATGCCTCAAATGAGATGAATACACTATAATATAGGGGTTAAAATGAAATTCGCGCTCCGATAGTACAACAGAACTTCCGATCAAAATCGGACGGTCCCAAATCAACCCCTCTAGGGTTTCTTAATTGTAAGCCATATCCTTTAATTAATCAATCCTAAGCCCTAGTCCCATCATCACTCGCTTCTTCGCCGAAATCTAGACACTCTCTTCTACATCCGTTTATGGAGGAGCAGCAAAATGGAGCCTCAGTGGACTCCATGGTTGACGGAGAATCTAAAGACGTTAAAACACCTGAACCCAGGAATTTCGGAAGCTCAAATCCTCACAATGGAGATGGAGCTAGTCCCGGGTAATTTGTTTAATTTTGGAAAGAAGGCCACAAAAAATTCTAGAAAAGTTTTTTTGTTTTTTTGTTTTTAATCATTGTTGATTTTGTTTATTTAATTAATGTAGAAAAATATTTATTGGGGGACTTGCTCGAGAAACGACTTCTGGTGATGGCATGTCATAGCTGTTTTCATTTTTTAATTTTTTTGTGAGTTCTAATTGTCATTATTCATGTAGAACAATTTGTCAATTATTTTGGTAAATACGGAGAAATCACTGATTCAGTGATAATGAAGGACAGGAAGACCGGGCAGCCACGTGGGTTTGGGTTTGTGACCTATGCAGACCCATCCGTGGTTGATAAAGTCATTGAGGAGACTCACATTATTAATGGAAAACAAGTAGGTTTATTTTTAGATACAAATAATGTCATTGAGAGCATGTTTAGCTAAGCTTAAAAAGTTTACTTATAAGTAAATTGGTGAGTTTTAAATTTTAATAAAATTTGTTTTTGTTCAAAGTTAGAAATAAGTAACTTTCACTCTTTTAAGCTTAGCCAAAACATGCTCTGTTTATTATTTCTTTTTGAGTTCTACAGTTGTTGTAATCTGTTTTCTGGAAATTTTTTAAGGTAGAAATCAAGAGGACTATACCAAGGGGAGCCATTGGCTCCAAAGACTTCAAGACTAAGAAAATTTTTGTCGGTGGGATTCCAACAACTGTGGCTGAAGGTATTTTAGCATTGTTCCAACAGCATTGAATTTTACCTTTTTATTTTGAAAATTATATTGTATGGGATTTCAAATTGAAATATACTGATTTATATGAATTTTTGATGTATCAGATGAGTTCAAAGACTTCTTTTCAAAGTTTGGAGAACTTAAGGAGCAACAGATTATGAGGGATCATTCTAGTGGTCGTTCTCGTGGCTTTGGATTTATTACATTTGAGACTGAGCAGTCTGTTGATGATATCTTGGCTAATGGTAATAGGCTTGAATTTGCGGGAGCTCAGGTTTGTGGATTCTCATTTTTTTTACCTAGTTAACAAAACTTTTTATCTTGTACAGGCCACCAAGATGATTAGTTTTATATTTTATTTATATCATTGGTGGTAAATAATATTATTTATACTGTCTCTAATTTTTTTTTTTGGCAATTTTTAATTTGAAAAATATTTGGAGAGACTATGTTATTTGTGAACATGCTCGCTTTAAATGTTGTCATTACTCAAGCTTATTTGTGGATGTCTATAGGACGTCTGTTTTATCAAGTCATCTAGATATTGTGATTTTTTTTTTTTTATCACTTTCAAGTTCTTGAATATCTTTCCTTTGAGTCAGTAGTTTAATTATTGAAATGTTCTTTGAGTCAGTAGTTTTGTTGCAAACTGTCACATCTCCATTGATGCATGAGAGGTCATTGATCGACTGGTCTAAAGACGAGCTTTTTATCAAAAGTCTGATATGAAATTTTAGCACATCACGGTATTTTGTTATTCTTTTCATTTTTCATTCTTGGGTAATTAAGAGTTTGTTTGTTCTATGGACTTCTCTTTCTATTTTATGTAGGTAGAGATCAAGAAGGCAGAGCCAAAAAAGGCTAACCCTCCACCACCTCCACCCAAGCGTCAAAGTAGCTCTAGAGCTGCATTTAGTGGTGGACTTGGCGACACTTACGGTGGATTCGTCGGTGGTCGTAGTTTTGGTGCTGGTTTTTATGGATCTGGCGGAGGCTATGGAGACAGAACTAACGCCTACGGTGGATATGGTGGGGGTGAATTTGGTGGGTATGGTGGATATGGTGGTGGCAGTTACGAAAGTTTTAGAGGGGATCCTTCATTAGGATACTCTAGCCGGTATGGAGGCTTTGGTCGAGGCTATGATTTAGGTGGTGATTACAATGGCCCAGTGGAGAGTTATTCACGGTACGGTGGTAGTGCCGGTGGATATGGTGGCGGTTATGGAGGTGGCAGTGGCAGCTCGCTGTATGGAAGTAGAGGCGGCTATGGTGGTGTTGCCGGGAGCGGAAGATATCATCCCTATGGAAGGTAGAGAATGGGGGAGTCATGGAAATGAAGGTATTGTGGATAATTTTCTCGTGAGAGAGAACTGGTATTCTCAGTGAACAACGAATTTTGTAATTTAAATTGGTAATTTGTACCTTCTTTTTGTTCTTTTAAACTGTACTTACTCTGAAGTTAACAATTTATTCCAATTCCATGCTTACAATCTGCAAAAACAATCAGAAAAATTCACTTAGCATCCGATTCAAACATATTCGTCAGTATATTGATAGAATTTGTTGTTTCGTTTTCTGGATGTGGGAATGAAGTTTTAAAGGATATTCCATAACATTTGTGACATTGTGTTCATTATCTGTGATTATTTTCCCCAAAGTATTCATTTGTGCTGTTAGTTGGATTCCTTCTCTTTAATGTATATGAGAAATCCTTGGAAGAATTTATTTATTTTTATTTTTTATTTTTTTAAAAGAGTGTGATTGGTGTAAACAGCGGAGAGCACATTAGGATCAAATATTTGAAGGAGGTTTTTCGATTCTTCCACTATTCTCCATTTAGTTTGTCGCCAGAGAACTTAACAGTTACACCTATTGTTCTACGGTATACTTAGATTCTGCATAGAAGGAACATCAGCTCTTAATGATTCCATTGATACTTTTTCTCTCCTCTTTCACTAGGGAGGGTTAGTATTAATTGATGAAATTCATCGGAGAGTTGAAAATTGATAAATTCACGCTACGAGCAAGCATTGACCTTCATTGATAGACTTTCTAAGAACCTGGAAACAAAATGCAATCAAAATATTGCAATACTTTTTCATTCATGTTTATGATATATATGCATAAATTCAATAAACTACCTCTGCAGAAATTAGGAGCACTATTGATTCCATACAACCCACTAACTATTAAATAACTAAAATAAACTGACATATTTATCCCTGGACTACTTCAACTAAATAAAATAAATTAAATTAAAAATGCAAGTTCATAATGTTGACTTCATTTTTTGTAGGAGGAATGTGGTCAACAGATCCGACTCCTCTCACGACCGCATAAACCTTATGCCTGCATAATTGGACAAATTATAAGGGGAAACGACCAGGAGCACTTTGACGATTAAGTTAATAAATGTATAAGTGTTTTGAGTGTGTGACATGTTAAAGGCGTGAGCTACTAAAAGTAAGAGGGAAGATCCGTAAGTATGTAAATTTCAGTTTTTTAAAAAGCATAATGCGTGGTTAGATGTATAGGTCAAGTTTTAAGTTAATTCTTGGATCTGCCTTTTTTTGTAAAATATAAAAATTATAATAAAATTCAAAAATTAGTAAGGTTTTTAATAAATTATTAATTTTATTATGTATGGTTTGTAGATTTTAATATTTATGATATAATAAATTATTAAGGATGTTAATCAGATAATATATAAAAGTTTAAAAATTTTAGCAAAACTAGACCATTTTTTATAGTTTCAAGTTGAGGTAGAAATGGTTCTATATGGTTTTGGTTTCAAGATAATTGAACCAAACCATGAACCAAAATCTTTTTTGATTATGGAGTCAAATGATTTTTTTTAAAAAAAAATAGTAGGGAACCAAACCGAAATCGAACCATTCGATTTTGGTTCGATTCGGTACGGTTCAGTTTGATTCAGTATGGTTCTAGTTTCATTACTGATTGAAGAAAAAAGAGAAACAACATTTAAGAAAGAAGAACTGAAAGTTAAGGCTTCAATATTAGAAATCCATATAACGATAGACAGTATGCGGTAGTTGTTGATCTCCATGTGAGAATTGTATAAATTAAAAAGGAGAGAAAATGAGAAATAAATTAGGATTTGGATCTCCAAAATGAATTAAGATCTCTAGTCTCCACATTGAGAAATGTGAAACCGAAGGTACATGATCATTTTATCATGATTTTCAATTGTCTTTTAAATTTTTTGGTGTGAAAAATATTGAGTTTGGTTCTTGGTTCTAAAACTAGAATTGAACCGAACCAAATGGTTCTTAGTTCTAAGAACTACAACAATTTATTTTATTTTATTTTTGTAAAATCAGACCTAACGAGCGGTTTGGTCGGTTATTTTGTCCACCCCTAGTTTCAACTTTCAACTAGACAAGTTTTACTTAATAGATTTATAGAAATTTCATACGTACTTTCAAAGTTTTCAACAAAATGATAAGTCTTAAAATTATAATCACATAATATAGATAGCACCATAACTTAAATCTTATCTAAATTTTTATCATATAAAGTAGTTTTTTTACTTCTATACAGATAAAATTATTTAAAAATTTGAAACTAAAGTCAAATAAAAGACTTTCAAAAAGGAAAAAAATTAACTTTTTTTTTAATAAACTAAAGTCAAATAAAATGCTTTTAAAAAAGGAAAAAATAAAAAATTAATAAATAGCACCTAGGCAAGCATTAAGTAGTCAACTTGATAGTTGACTGTTTAATTCATACTTACTACCAAGGCAAAGAGTTTCGTCCACGTCTCGCGCTTAGGCGACAGCGCCTAGCTGAGTTTTTTAGAACAGTGGTAAATAGAGAATAATATGATAACAATGTTATAGTTGAGTGTGTAAAATTACATTACCTTAAAAATGACACTAAGTGTGAGCTTTTATATTAGAAGATGTATGACACTAATCGTTGGATGAAAGACATGTGGTCTCATCCTGACGACCGATGTCATTTTCTAGGTATAAATCCATACATGGCTGGGGTAACATTTAATGGTTCTAAAAAGTTATCACCCTAGTGCCTGGGTCTGATCTCTAGACTCACATTAATCAGTCTCGGGAGGATCTTGTACAAAAGATCTATTGAATGAAGATGTAAAGTGGGAGGGGTATTTTGTTAGTGAGGTTGGTTGCCTCAAACTCATTTCCTACAGCATATTGCCTGGGCATGGTGGTCGGCCTCTACATGGCACCTCGATGGAAGTGATGCATCATCTCGACAATCTTACATATGGCCTTACAACAAATATTGGAAAGAGAAGTGGTAGGACCATGTCGATTCCTACTAGGCCGAAGGCCTTTTGGCTGCTAGCAATGCTTATGTAGCTAGAGCTCTTAGCATCGAGTGGCTGTGGAGGGTCTGGTAAAGGATATGAGGGAGAAGATTTAGCCCACCACCTTGAGGTTGCCTCCAACTATAGGGATAAGGTGATAAAGGCTAAGGAGATGCTAAACAGTCATAGCTAAAGAGGTCGGAGGCTAAGAATAAGCTCCATAAAGCTGAAGACGGTTGGGCAGTTCAAAATTACTTGGCGAACTTCGACGAGACCAAGGATTACAACGACTTTGCAAACTTCTAGGCTTTATGGAATGCCCAAGAGATGCTAGCTCGAACGAGGAAACTTCTTGGTGAAGGAGTTTGGTAGACCAATCAGTGGTCAAACCAATGCTAAAAGTCCAAAAGTTGTTGATGAAGTTTAGCATGATGCTCTAGAGGTATGCGAACCCTGAAATAGAGGTGGTTGGGGTCTTGGGGATGAGGCTCTTATAGTGGCTGACCCGTGAGTTTTTATGTAATGGCTTCGACCGTCTCTATATAACTTATCTTTTATCTTTTATTGAATATACGTTAGCTTCAGTACTTCTGATGTTATCACTTTGCCACTATTAATAACACCTTTTCAATAAGTTAATGAGCTAACCTTAATTAAACACTTCAAATTTTTCGACACACTCTACTTAGGATTATGGTAATGACATTCAAAACTTTAACTTGTAAAATTAACAAGTATTGACGCCTCATATAATTTTGGTGTTACGCCTCGGATAGGTGAAGGTCAAATGGATCGTATAACTTCATATAGGTTAGATTAGATGAACCAGGTTACCTTGATCATTGCAATGAAATCTATCATTTTTACAAAGTGTTAACGCTTCGGTCATTTAAATAAAATGTTGTTTAGACACCTCATGGGTTATGAGTGTAGGCCCCTTTTAGGTTACATTACACCTATTCGTCGAGGTGTCAAGAATACTTCAGTGAATGGGGGTGGCTCATCCATGCCAAGGTTTTCTTCCATGGTGGATGATTCATCCATAAAAGGCATCGTCGTACGTATCTTAGGTGGGCTGCCCTTTTTGGGATGCTTCTCATATCTCCTTTCCAAGTGGATTAACTTCCTTGTATGGGATGACTCATCCATGCCAAGAGCTTCTTCCATAATGGGTGGATGGTTTATCCAAGGAAGGTATTGTGACAAAGAGAAAGTTATTTTGATAAAAAAAAAAATCCTTTGCATTGAATAAAATATATTTACATGAGTTGGAAAAGATTGTCCAGCTGAATGGGTGAGCCTTGCTCACTGATAGCATCTGCTTAGGTAATCTATGTTTCATATATGAGGTTACGTCTTTCCATCTAGGTTTTCGATTTTGTAAGTGTCAAGTTGTAGTTCTTCTTTAATGCGAAGGGGCCTTCCCAAATGGGGTCTAAAGTACCTATGCTTGGTTTTTTAGAGGAGATAAAGACCTTCCTTAGTACAAGTTTGCCTATGTGGAATGACCTCTTCTTTACTTTAACATTATAATAATCGATTATCTTTTGCTGGTAAGAGGCGAGTTTTACTTGGGAATCATCCTTCCTTTCTTCAAAGAAGTCAAGATCGCACCATCTTAGCTCATCATGGGATATTTTGTTAAAACATAAGTGACGAGGTAAGAGCAGTCCTACCTCAATCGGACTCATAGCTTTGGCTTCATAGGCCATGAAGAAGGGAGTTTTTCATGTGACAGTTCGACTTGAGGGAGCTCGTCAACTCATGCTCCTTTGGAGGCATCAAGCTTCCTTTTTTAGGGTATACTTGACAGTTTTGCTGACGACTTCGACATGACTATTCGTCCGAAGATGGTGAGGTGTGGAGAAATGTTTCTTGATTCCTCATTCATTGCATAGGTCCCTGAACTTTTTATTGTCAATTTGTCGTCCGTTATCTGAAGTGATTGAGTGAGAAATGTCGAACTGACATATGATGTTATTCCAAAGAAATTAAGAAGTATTAGCTTTC